TGGTTCACGGCGTCCACGGCTTCTCAGGCTGGACCACCTATCCCAGATGCTACCACCCCAGGAGCGTGGATGACTGTTGGGGCGAAGGAAGCAGACGTGAGTAACTAAAGACTCCCCCGTAGCAGTCCTAGATGCAGTACGTTCGCCAGGCGCGTCGCAGCGTAAGAGGGTTTCGCTGTATATCGCGAAGCCTGTTACGTGAGACGTGGTCTGGTGGGCGTAGCTAGTCCTACTTTTGTAATAGTACAGCACTGACTTCTCCGAAGCATTGCAAGTGTATTCCCTAAAGGATATGGCAAGGAATAGCGCATGTTTTGTGTCTTATGTTACAGATGGCGGATCGTCAGGCAGCAGGAACGCTCTACGCCGTCACATCAACGATGACATCTTCCACAACATGTAAGTTTTGTAGCTGTTGCTATACTCCTGCCGAAGATTCAATCTTCGTTCAATGCAGCAATTGCGTAACATACGGCTTCTTTCCAGGTGGACCAACCCGACTGTCGGATGCAACCAGCAAAGCGGCCTTTTTAAATAACCCCTGCTGAACCAAACGAACAAATGTCAGTTTTTCTGAAATGATTTGCTCATATCAACCACGGAACAAGACTTCTTAAAACCAATGAACGCAATTTTTAATTAAAAGGTGACGATGATTATGCAGCTAGAAAACTTGCAATTTTATTTTTAATGTAAGAACTCAATTTTGGAAAATTTAAATTTTAAGCCGCAATAACTCCTCTCTGTAATTAAAATGAGTCCCTTTACATACAATAAGTACAACTTTAAGAAGGTGAAAAATAATACTAAGTTGAATGCCTCACACACACAATACAATGCAGATGGAGGTGACTCATCTGACCCACCCACTTCCAGTTAGACTGCACCGCATGCAGCTGTGCGGGTGGGTTGCCTACTCGCCGGCCGTCAGGCGCTATAGTCAGAGTAGTACCGCCGCGGTATAATAATCAGCTGACGTCGCGTCAATTAAACGTGGAAGGTTTGGCCTCGTTTCATACCAGCCTGGCACAATGCTGGCTGCTGCTGCTGCTGTGTGACAGACTGCAGCTTCATTCACACATCAATGCCGCAGAGCAAGCCTTCAATTATCGAGTCCTGCCGCCGCCGCCACGCGCCGCCACCTAACGCAAATCAGACGGCGCTGCTGCGCGACTGGAGAAGTGGCGCCGACTGACACGCTCGAGTGATAAATCATTGGGGAACAGCAGCTCGAAGGCGAGCAGGGGGAGGTGATTTCGAAAATGTGCAACAGGCCCATTATAAAAAGCAAAGAGTTACCTATGGACAATATTTGATCGTGATATTCACGTTCATGCCGCACCTCTCGCGACCCACCCGGTGACTCACACTGCGCCTGGCTAAAATAGTGACGCATGGCCTCCCTGGGGATTGGATTCCCTCCGAGGCGTGCGGTCCGGCGCGTCGCGGCGGCTCGGCCCAGGTCCAGCCAAGGACAGTGCGACAGGCTAAACCAGTACGGGGGCTCGCCATGGGGGTAAACCCGCGCGAAAAATAAAGCAAGTTGGCAGTTTAGTTTAATTTTTAAAAGGGATTCCTCTACCCCGTTCCCTAATATTACTCCTTTCTGTGTCTCATACGGCCACCTGCAAACGCCTGCTCTACGATTTTTAAGCCGTCACTTAGATTCATTAGCTGGAGTGGTGCCGACTGAGTCAGTAGTTCCGATGGAATCAAACGGCGCGGTATCTGATGTATATCGTTGTATATACGCAAGGACGAACGAGCCGCATTTTCCAGCAGGCTGTGGCTGTGACGTTGGCGAGGTCAGTGCTACAGTACGCACTGAGTCAGGCGGCGTGACGCCACACCACGCCTTGCCTGGTGACTCAGACACTGGGTACATCTGCAAATGGACCAGGAGGCCACTCTAGGCCCGCGAGCGCGGGACACGGGACACACCCGTTAAGCAATAGTCCTCCTACTACGCCTGCAGGAAATATAGTTCGGGTCAGGAAGGTGAAAGATACATCGCAATTTGACGGCCATAGCTCATAAGGAAAATAGCAATACTCCGACAGGAGAAATTTGGGAGAAATGGAAATAGTGATGAAGATTGTGTACTGAAAACTAACCAGGATTCTCTGAAAATGACGTGAATTTTTCAGCTGTGCCAGGTTCCCTTTATAAGCCGTAGGTGACGAATACAGTATCTCTGGCCACTATCATTTACAGTGCAACCGAATAGATTTATCATCCTCCCTTGCAAATAACAACCTCTACATTGCTGAACCCCTCCCCTCTCCCCAAACGGACAATATTGTCTATCCATCGACAACTAGACAGCCGCGCGCACCCCCGCTCCACCAAGGCTGCTCCCTGCCGCAATATATGGCTGATGACCGAATGACGCGTCCTTGGCGCAAACCAAACATTGCCCACCCCTCTCGCACCCGCCGCCTCGCAGCGCCCTGGTCCGCTCTCACACAGTATGACCAAACATACCAAAATGACTACCACATCACCAGCAGTCCCTCGTATGAACCAGAACGAGTCGCGCTTCTGGTGACTGCCGTACAGCAGACGCTCTGCAGGGAGCAAAAGTACAGAAGTCTCCATACGGGAAGGGTGAGAGGAGAGATGGGAGATATGTTACGGTAGAAACTATGTCTGATTCTTTGAAAAGCTCCTCGAATTTTAACGAATCTCCTCAAATTATGAGAAAGTCTCTTCATAAGATGTGGGGTCATGTGCAAGAACACGTAAATTTTGGAAAGAGTCTTTGTACGAGACTTTTGGTTTCCCCCCGGCTGGACCGTGTGACACAAAGGGAAGTGCAGCGAGCTCCCCTGCCCAGCCTATGGGATTACATGTTGACAGAGCCAATCCCGCCGTTGCCGACTAATTAAAACAAACTGGCCCGCGGCGTGGCGTGGCGTGGAGAAGTTCCGGCCGGGCCGTGCAGGCGTACAGCGGGGCGCTATAGTAGCCTCGACCCTGATTACGGTCATTGGCGAGCTAATTACAAAGAATCTGCCGCGGAGGGGGTCTTCCCTGCAGGCGGATATTGTTAGGGCAGGGGCAATATATTTATTTAGGGATGCGGAGTAACAGTAAGAAGTTCGAAAAACGCCTGTATTTTACGCGTGCGACGAGATTTTTGTTTAAAAAAAGGTATCTTTGGCCACTCAGATGACTTATTGTAAATAAGTTAATGAACGAAAAATTGCATTTAAAAATAGACTTTTGTCCGGTAAGCTACTTCAAACTTTCCCCACCCAAAGCACCAAACCAACTCACGTGGTCATCATGTGCGTGTCCCCCCGAGCGAATCCTCTGGGACAATCACAACTTTTTTCATCTCCGTTATCTATTGGCCACGTTGTGGACTTTAGTGGCCAGCAAGGGGGCCGGCGACGGAGAAGGGGGAAGACGGGCGTGCCCAGGTAAACCCTCGGTCAGCACTAAGGCCAGCAGAGGCTACGGGTCGCTCACGTGACATGTATAGGGGCAGGGTACAAATATCATGGTGTGGGATCCGAAAAGTTTCAGGACAATCAGGGACCGTATGATATTTTTAACCCGGGGGAACGAATGCGACGAACGACCCCCAATTGTGGACCTTACACTTTTGGGACCCCATGATATTTGTACCCCCCCCCTCCTCCCCGAC